ATCCTCAGCTCGTTAGCTGAACCGGTAGACCGTCCAGATGCTTGTGTACAGAGGGCTACCATTCGAACTGGTGAGTGTGTATTCGAAATTCGTTATGGGTTTACTTAAATGTCGTCAGCTTTAGATTTTGGATGTTAATGTTACTTAAACTGCCACCTATAATACTGGTGCTTATGGAGTTTTTACAAGCTTCTCAAAATTAAAATCGTTGGGTTTATTGTTAGTCGGTATCGTTCCTGAAATCTCAGGAACAAGCTGTAGAGGATCGATGTCATGCCAGTGAGTGCTGATTCCAAAACTTTGAGAAAGCAAACAGAGTAGTTTTGTCCACATCGGGGATAGTTTGCGTCTTCTGCTTTAAAGTTGGAATATACTCCAGCGTAATAGAATTGGACAGTATTCACTTCTAAATATCATCCAGAGGCTACTGAAAACACAACTTTCAACATGTACTCACACTTCGGAGTATCTGGTTTACCACGAAGGACTTGACGAGATATGGTAGCCTTATTTCTCTACTTCCTACTACTTTCGCCACGGCCGATCTAAATCACAGTATTTTATGGATGAAGAAGAAGTCTTGTCGAGCACCGGATCAATGTGTTTATTGTCCTGAGCTTTCGAACCCTTACAGGAGTCCATCTTCATCTTCACATTTTTATCGCAAAGCGGTACGACACTGTAAGTGGTCAGTACTTTATAGTACTTTCAATAGTTTTTGTTATTTATGCGGTGATGATTGTGCGAAGCTGCAGGCTTTCACACACTAGTAGCATGGTCCTTGTTGATCCGCGACTGCTTTCTCACCAGACTTAAACTTTACTGGAGGTCATTCCACTGTCTGCCACCCGTTAACCTGGCGAGTTGCCGATAGCGAGGCTAAAAGGTGAGTCTAACTTGTGTAACTTAGTTGCGTTTAACCACAGAACTTAAACAAACATCGTATAAACTGTATGATTGATCTTTCGCGCCCTAGCGTATTCCCCAGAGGGTGGTATCGCCATAAAGCTCACTTTCTTTTTCGTAAGCCGCGAGTTGCCATATCCTGTATACCGTTTTGTTACCAAAGTCAGCTTATAAAGTAAGTGAACAAAGGACCCGACAATGGCTTAGGCAATGATAATAAGCATACACCTTTTCTTCGATTAGCATTACAAAATGTAGACTGCCCGAATAGAGGAGTTATTTAGTCGCTGATGGCTGCTGGCGTGTATTAAGGGCACGCTTGTACTCAACTTCAATACTAGGCCTTCACTACCTCACTCTACACCCTTTTGACGTCACTTTTTTCATTTTATAGCTTAAATCAGACACAGTGTTAACTGCATTCCTTAACACAGTGTTAAACTTGCTCGTTTCCGACATAAGTTGCAGTGCCTGGGTATATGCTCGCCATGCCTTATTCTTCTTAAATCAGCCTTCTCGAGCGAAGTACATTAACAAGATGTAAAGGCATGTAAGATAGTGAGTAGTTGGCAACTAGCGGCGATCACTGGTGACTTAAAATCTGTCTGATGCTGCAATCAGCATCGCGTCGAATTCAAACTAGTTTTCGTTCCTCTGCTCCAATCCATATCACAGACTAATTTCTTGTGGTTCCATATAACATGTTCCACAATTGTCAAACAGTATACGAGTGTTGAAATTGTGCGTTGCATGATCTATCCAAAATATACGCTCTTTCATTCTCCAAAGGAAGCCTTTCGTGCCTAGCCAATCCAGAGTCGCCAAGTTGTACTTTAAACATGGGTACTTACCAGAGTGGATTACAGTACATCTCCCATGGATCCGCCATCTGGTTCTGGTTATCTAATGGGAAAAATTCACACAATGCGTGCAGCTAAGTGATCAGGCAGTGGCGGCTCTATGCAGCTGGGCTCTTGTTCATTCGAAACCCACCCCGCCATCGTGAATGTTACCTTTTCGCCACACTCTCTTCACAGCAGCACGGAAAAAAAGTTCTTTTGAATAGCTTTGCCATTAGCTTTAGACTCATCTTCATTTCCTTTGCTGTTAAAAAAAAACTTTTAAGTCCGTTTGCAATGGCATGTCGCTCGCCCATTTTAGTAGGCGCCAACTGACCTATTATGTGTCATGCCTCTCCTCTTCAGAACGCATTTACAAAGGCGACGAGGACACTGATGATGACGATGGCAACCTCAAGTTCAAGTCGAAGCAGGTCATGTGGGCGCCGCGCGCGAAAAAACCAAACAAGCATTTGGAGAGTGGCGATGAATCCGCTCTTCTTTCCCCTACCGTGTACGAACCACAATCCCTCGTTGACCTCTGTCTGGGCGTAATTGAGAAAAACATATCACTGGTTGACCATGTAGGCCTCGTTCCCTTTGAACTCTTCTCCCGCGTTCTCACCAAGGCCTCGCCAGAAGATTTGGCTCGCATCGAAAAGCATAACCCGGTTAGTCTTTGGTTTAAAGTCACTGCAAAAGCTCAGTTTTTCAAGTAGAGCCTTTTAGCTCTGACACCCTTTGAAATTGAGGCAAATGTTCGCATTCCAGGAACGTATATATTTTGAGAAGAATAACTTTTATCGGACACCGGAATCATTATTTTATTGGTCTGAGCTTTCGGGCTCCTGCAGGAGTTCATCGTCAGAGATGGGAAAACAGCAAAAAATGAGGTGGCTAGTTCGGGCGTGTGTACAAGTCAACTAAAATTTGAACGTGTAGAAAATCAATAATTGTGTGATTTGGCCGCTGACTCGCTACTATGGACTATGTCAGTCTGTGCTAGTGGGCGAGATCGGCATGTTGGGTGGAAATATTTACAGAAATGAAATCTTCAACGAAAACAAGCAACATTTATAGGGAAAGGTCAATTATAAGGGGGGAGAAGGGGCGGCGAAGGGGGTAAGAAGACCAATTAACTATCAGTGCCGTGAGTCTCGAGATACCTGCGCAGGGCAACATATGCGGGCGCCAGCTCAATACATCGGTTAACTGATTTGTCATCCGATGCCCAGGCTTTAGTCAGTTCTCGGCACAGACTGACATAGTCTGCAGTAGCGAGTCGGCGGCCAAACCACACAATTATTGATTCTCTACACGTTCAAATTTTAGTTAATTTGCACACACGCCAGAACTAGCCACCTCATTTTTTGCTGTTTTCTCATCTCTGACTATTGACTCCTGCAGGATCCCGAAAGCTCAGACCAATAAAATAATGATTCTGGTGTTCGATAAGGCTTATTCTTCTCAAAATATACCCTTTGAAATGTTGATAACATACAGCAGACCTCTACCGTACAGCGT